CAATTTGCGACTTCGCCGAAAACTATGCATTCATCATTCAGGATGCGGCCCCAGGATTTCATTGGAACAATAATCAGGCGACTGTCTATCCTGTAGTTTTATATTACAAATCCAATGGAATCCTGAGCCACAAAAGTCTTACAATCATCTCAGATTGTTTGCATCACGACGCCATCACGGTTTGGGCGTTTTCGCGATTTGTGAACAAATTTATGAAGTCTCTCGTACCACACGTCTCGAAAATAATTTATTTTTCTGACGGAGCACCGCAGCAATTTAAAAATTTTAAAAATTTCTCGAACATTTACCACCACGAGGTCGACTTTGGTGTTCGCGCTGAATGGCACTTCTTTGCCACTGCTCATGGCAAAGGGCCATGTGATGGAATCGGTGGGACGCTGAAACGCTTAGCTGCGCGAGCAAGTCTTCAACGTCCTACCGACCAACAAATTTTAGACCCGATGGATTTATTCAATTGGGCTAATGAACCGGGCACACTGCCATCCATCACTGTCAAGTATTGGGACAAAAAAAATTATAAAATTGCCGCCGAATTTTTGACAGATCGGTACGATAAAACAAAAAGAATACCTCAGACTCAACGTGTCCACTGCGTCATACCAAGTCATACAAAAAATTATGAATTAATTGTTAAAGATTACTCATTTTCAAATGATTATACTGAGCACAAAATAATAAAATTATAAATAATATGTTCTTAAACAAATGTACTTATTGAATTAAACTTCCTCATAAATCTATTTTTTTCGCCTTTCCCACACTATTCATCGCAATTGTCGTGTGCTATGCCGAGATCTTCATCATGCTTTAGTAAAAAAGTATATCTAAATCGATTCAGAATTGTCTGAAACGCGTTTTTAATTACACTTTTGTGAGTCAAATATTACTACTGCCTCACAAAAAAATTTATAAAAAATTCCCAAAAATTCTGCGCAACTTCCAACTAGTCTTAAAATTCTTCTAATACTCCCTAGAATATTCCCTATAAATTTAAAAAAAATAGAAAATGGGGTTTTTGAGATATTCAAATTTTTGTGTGTTTTTTTACTTTATTAGTTTAAAATCGTTATTATAAAAATTTGAGATAATTTTTTTTTTAAACTATGATCTAAATAGCGTATTTTATGTTCAATGAATTTTTTTCTTAGACGTTGTCTAATAGGCGAAAAAATTCATTGAAAATTTTGCAGTCCTCATTTTGCGCAGGCTCTATTTCGGAAACGCTACATTTATTATAGAAACGATTTAACAGGGGTCTAATACTCGTAAAGACCTGTTAAAAAACGAGCGGCCATCAAAAATAAAAAGGTCGAAGTTTGACCCCTTGCGAATTGGCGTGGAATGCCCCATATATATATATTATATGTATATATGTATATAAAATAATTGTTATTGTCATATATTTATAGGCCAGTCATATTTAGACATCGAACCTTCCAATTAATCTTCCCAGGTTGCAACCACCATGAATTGCTTTGATTTGAGGTGCTCTGTAAGTGGGATTTATTTTGCTTCGCAATGCGCATGCGCATTACAAAGTTATTAACAATATTATCAACAAAACGCGATTTTTTTTATCTTTTCTCAAATATTTCGAAAACTAAGCAAGACAAGTTGAAACTTGCACATTGCTTCCTCATAGTTATTAAGTGTGCAA